TATAGAGAGCGCCAGCATTGAGAGCTAAGTTAAAAGGTATTCTGTGTGTTTGGAATGCCGCTATGTTTTCCTTTTTTCCTTTCTCTTTTCGCAATAGTTGCTCAAGTTCTTATTTATTAATTGCGTTATTTGAATGTTTATAGGTGAAATGTTGACCTCTATAATTTTATTTGTTAGGCATGCGTATAATTTTCAGGTGAATTATAAGAAAAATTTCATGAAATAATTTTTAAAATATTTTCTCTTAATGTTAAATGCATATGTAAATCCGCTCAATAAAAAAATGTCTTTCAAAGCTTCAAATAACATCAGATGATGATGTCACGTGCCTTTACTTTTTTTATTATCAACATAAACTTTTATTTAGCAAATACGATGATAAAGCTACAGTTAGTATATATAAAATGCGCTTTGTTAAGAAGAAATTGTAGAGTCATAGTATCAATTGGTTTCTAATTTAAGAAACGTTGCCGGACGCGGAAGTCTATAGCTATTATACATAATTGACATCTTTTCTTTAATAAAATAAGTAGCGACCCTTGTTGCAGATCGGTGTCGCTCACACATCATTTTAAGCCGGAGTATCCCGTAGTTAGGGAGGATTCTCAGAATCGTCCAGGGCATAACATCGGCCTGTCCGATAACAATGTTTCAATCGTCCGTCTGTCCCGATAAGGATTTCTGCACATGTATTTCTTGAGTGTATCGGTCTGCTGTGTGTTTGTTTGATAAAATATGAAACGTTAGTGCCGAACTAGCAAGCTTTACACTGACACTTGCATTTATCGACTGTTTAAACCTTTTGACTTTATTATAGTATTTCGTTATGCAAAATGGGCGATGTTTACTCGTTACACTGAAAACGTCGCACACCTAACATGGGAGTCTATATAGTTTTGATGCACCGTGTTACGAGGAATGCAACGACTTTTAAACTTCGTTATACAAAAGTGAAATAAATTTTGGAGAATACCTGAACACATCGTTACACGTAATGATGGCACTCAATGTGGCGCCCATCTCACCAGAGGATATCCCACTTAATCTGGGACCCTTCAAAGTGTTGAGATGTTGCCTTCTATATGTTTATCGCTAGTTTTTATTGATTGCGAAGATGTATGTTTATCTTCGCAAGGAGAATTTTTGGATCCATCTGTGCACAGTTGTGTTGTTTTTTTGTGGATGTAGAGCCTCGAGTTTTGTGTGCCTAACTCATCGCATATGCTCTTCTTATTTCACATATATTCTTCACCTTGGACAAATCCCATTTCTATGAGTACGACAGACGATAGCTAGCTAAGCGAAATTAGTTGCAACATGGAGTTTTAATTTAAATAAAACATGTAACTGAGTAACTTTGCTTCACTCACATCGATTTCATCTTGACGTTTTCAAATAGAAATTCTTATTGTTGTACAAAATCGTTCATCATATGCTTAGGCTAGTGCGGGAATGCGAGGCATTAACTTTCGTCCTAACTCAGGCGTGCAAGTCAGTACATTGTTCGCTTATTATTCCGTGCAGTGTCACTTGAGGGTACTTGATGAGGCCATGATGACGTTTATCAAATTTTCATAAAGACCGGGCGGAGGCAGAGCATTGCAATACTTTCTGCATATTTGTAGGCACAATAGTACAAGAGAAAACCAGCAATATTTTTGTTGCCTAATGTTGTAATGTGAATTAAACAGACGAAAACGCAGTGAGACCTTTGCCACAGATTTCTAGCTATTATGAGAGCATCACTGCTTCCTTTCAAGAAATCAAAAACTGCTAGTATAGAGGCGGTGGTCAGAGAGAAGCAGTTCCTAAGATTCCCCGTGTTGCGGGTTAGGGTGAGTGTTTGAATCAATTTACGCTTACTTTTATCTTGCGCCATAAAACGAGAGTAGCGTAATCAACGAGCCCATAGACAATGTGATATAGCCCTATTAGACTTTTTTTTTTTTGAGGTTATGTTAAATCATTGGTCTACTGCAGTAAATCAGAAACTCTCAAAAATCTTATTTTCCATAACTATTCACGTTGTTGGTGATATAAGAGCAGATTCTCGTGAAAAAGTCGCTGCAAATTGTTGCTCCAGAATTGAATTTTTACAGAAGCGGTCATTCACACAACATCATCTCGAAATGGCACGAACCAACATCTAATAAGGAAGAAAATTGATCGTGATACCGTTTCGTTTTTATCGCAAAGGAAAAAAAAAACTTATTTTATGACCCTATGTATGCATAGGGTCACCTTATTGTCGTTTGCTAGTTTTGAAATTGTGTCGTGACATATGTTGTTGTTTCTTGCAACATTTCAATTTGTCAGTGTTGGCTATGCGGGTTGGGTGTCTTGCCTTTTCATGGTCTCGTTTTTCCGATTACTTTTAATACATAAATTAATAATCCATCCTTGTTGGCTTAGTCCGGTTAGTTTTAACAAACAAAAAAAATAAATAAATAAATAAATAAAAAGTAACAATAGTTTTCCTTTTTTAAGTTTACTTTGCCCAATTGTGTCTTCAACCCAACAGATATGTGCGAAGCCATCTTTATTGCCGAATACAGTTGGATACGCTCTTATCTTACGGTTAGCAGATTGTCACAAATCACCCCCCTTGGCGTCATGCTCGTCTCAAGTCTATAAAACATGTCAACAAATCTTTTTCTTCCTTGCTCCTCAAATAGCATCTTGCACACCTACCTTTCCAGTTTCTCGATTCAATAGATTTGCAAACTCCTGCTTGAAAGCTTAAATGTGGTAAGAGCAGCTATGCAGGAAAATCGCTGCTTAGTTCACACTTTTTTCTTTAGTCACAGTGTACAAATCCTTGCTATTCAAGCCATGTAATCAGGGAAATTCATACAAAAAAAAAAATGCTCCGTAATATTTTTTTGATTATTTTTGAGTGTACGCTCGCCCGCATTGTAACAACAAATAAAAATGTTGGTGATGAACTCAATTTATTGATAACAGGCCATTGTCGGGAACTTGATATGTTTGCGATTGATGCGTGCCACATTCTTTTGGAATGTGGAAACAACTAACAAAAAGAACAAATTGAAAGGAACCCTCTACACAAATAAAAGTAGCAAAGTAATGGTTATTGAAATCCATTTCTGACGATCTGACCCTCTTAATGAATGCCTTTATGTTTTTCTCTTTTGTTATCCTTCTTCTTGACTTCATTTGTGGGCGAAGTAAAGAGGAAGGGATAAAACGAAATAAAGAGACACAAGCAAGAAAATTTTATACGGCTGTGGTCGAGTCTTCTAGGCTTGTCAACTTTCTCTTAGAATAAATTGGTGATAATATGAGAAGTTTTGGAGTAACGAGCAAAATTCCCCTTTTTTCTTGCTTTTGAAAATTGATGCTTTCCTAGTTTATGTTGTAGTAGTGTTCTTTGAAAGGTTTGGGTCATTTTCAATACCAACCTGCAGGCAAGTGCTTAACATATTTTTGCCAAATGCGAAGCCCACATCTTCATTTTTGTGATTAGGAGCGTGTTTAACATAGACATTTCACAGACGGACGGACATGCAGACAAAGAGGCAAGCGGATGGACAGATAAACAGACGAACGGACATTCAGATTAATTTTTTCAAAGATGGATACTGATTAAGGATATGTGCTTTCCGAAACCTGCTTCTGGTCGTCGCAAAGGTTATCAGCCAATAAGCCCGCGTTCTCCGATACTCAAAGCAACGAATACCACAGCCAAAGTATGGAATTCAAATAGGAAAACATATTCTTGGATATTCTTGTTAGTGCAATATACGAAGGACAAAGAACGACATTTCTCGTCGGGTTCTGCTGCTGCTAAAAATGCAAGCCTCTGCAACAAAATGAAAAGAATATTAAAATTTCCTTAAAATCTCGTACGATGTATACAGATTGATAGGGAAGGAAAAGGAACTCGCTCGATTATTGAGTTTGTTCTTCTTACGCTCCTTTGTTTGATGCGACGAAGCGATTAAGACGAAAACTTGGTCAAAAAATGCCAACTACCCGAACCAAGCCGTGATAGTCACTTAAACGATACAGTTTTTCATAGACAACTGGCATAAGTCCGACTTTGACCTTTATTAACGACATGATTGCTATCAATTTTTGTGTTTTGCGTTTAGTTGGAAAAAAAAAGAAGTTAGTAGATGTGAAAGTCCACACCTTACACACCTTTGCATAATATATCTGTTCTTCTATAAGCTTTACATTATTATCAAAAGTTTGGAATTTCTTAAAGCAGATTGTCTTCGATTAAATTTTCCACGGAAACAAGCTACTACTTTCCATTTCAGACAAATGTTTCTCGTTCCTGTTCAGCGTACAACTGACTTTTAAGTAGTAATTTTTCCTCCATAAGAGTTAACTCCACCGGTATTAGATAACTCCAGAAGTGTAATAGTAAAACATTTGCTGATAGTAATTTTCAAGTGTTTACATTTTTTTTACTCTTCTCCCTGCTTTTTTTTTGCTTTTGTTTTTGTTTGTTTTTTTTTTTTGACTTACGGCTGACTGCGTTGCTCTTTTTCATGATGGGTTTTCATTCATTCATTATAGTATTAGTTAAGACGGAGAATATAGATTTCAAGTTCATCACTGCTACTAGAGTAGAGTAGCAACCACTAAGCACTGACTAAAATTCCAGTTGAATTTTTTTTTTTTTTTTTTTTTTAATATTTATCTCTTTCTGTGCTTTGGCTTAAACACTGCGCACTCACTGCAATTCAGGCTGAGTACGTTAAAGTTTAAAACACAGCAGTCAGTATCGAAACGGCTTTCAGCCAGAACGGATTGGAAATATTTTGGAAACGCTTAATAAATCAACGACCGTATTATAGTTATAGTTAGGAAAGAAAGCAAAAAAGAAAAAAAAAACTACATTAATAAAGAAATGTAAAGAAAATCAAAAACTTTATACATATACATATATATATATATATATATATATATATATATATATATATAATATAATATATATATATATAATAATATAATTCAACTAATTCTAGGAAAGAAAAAATTCATAGAGTGTGTGTATAACATAAGCATTATTATCTAACTGCCCTAGAAAGGCAGTTACTTTTATTTTAAGAAAAAAAGAAAAAAAAAGAAAAAAGTGCTTTCCAAATAAAAGCCAATCAGTAAAAATAAAAAGAAAATTAAGTAAAACCGGTTAGAATTCTTTTGCAGAGCTTGCACTTGCGGTGTTAAGTGTTAACTGGAATCCGTGACCGAATTAACTATTTTAAACTCTTTATACGTACACGAATTGCATTGTTAATATTTTTATTTATTTTTTTTAATATTTTGTAACACTCTTTTTTTGTTTTTTTCTGTTGAAATTATTGTTATCTATTTCGTTGTCAGACAATTTAGACAATTGATATTGAAGTGATTAAAGTGTTTTGAAGAATTGAAAGAAATTCTTTTTTTTCGGCATTTGCTGATATATTCAATGTAATATCTTTGTAAGAAAAAAAAAAAAAAAAAAAAACTTTTCTATTTTTTTCTATTTTTAACCTAATTTTCATGTTGCCGGTATTGTATGAGAAAAATCAATTTTTGCCGACTATTATTGACCCTCCGGAAAGAGGAATATGCCGAATGTAGGCGTACACATACAATACTATTCAAATAATTTGTGTGAGAAATTAGTTCAAGAATTGAATTCGTGTTCGATGAGTAAAGGCGTAAATAACCGACGACCGACATGGATAACCATCCTGACAAAAAGCATAGCGATGACATACCCTATGAGTTGGAGGGCAATCACGGAGGAGGTGTAGGAGACCGGTCAGTGCCGAAACCAGCAGTGCGCAAACGTCGTTTAAGGCAAACAGCTGTTGAACCAAACGACACCTCACCTGACGTTAGTCCAACTATGGATATCGATGAGACAAAGGCGGCAGAGGAGACGGCATCAACAGTCACTCGCACTGTTATAAAAACAATTAAGAAAACTACTAAGGAAGTTGTGCGCAGCACTTCCAGTTCAACGGAATATCTGTTAGATAGTGGTGCGCCGGCATGGAATCGCACTCCTACTTCTACCTCACCGCATCGTTTACGCGATAAAGTTGCCATGTATGAGAAGGCCTGCTCTTCAGGTGGTGGTATGAAACGCAGTACTGAGCACATTGCCGATGAGCGCACAAGTCGAAGCCACACTCCGCAGCGTATGTTCGATTTTGCAGACCTTGAGTCGCAACGTAAAGATGAAAATCCTTTTGAAATGGACGTTTACGATATAGAGAAACGTTTGAGACAAGAAAGACAGCGTGGATTGGCTGAGGCTGAGGGCGCCAAGTTGGCTTTCCAGCAAGTTCAACTCAAAGCTACCCCCCAGGCTAAACCACGCAAAGTCGAAATTCACGAAGAACATACGCCAAGCCCTTTCAACGTAACTCTGAAGACAACTAGTAAAATTTCGCCAGGTGCTGTAAGTGGACGCATAGAACTCGATGAACAATCCAATAGTCCATTTAATGTTACTTTACGCACAACTCAAAGATATCGGAGAGCTCCGCCACACTTAGAGGAAATCTCTAGTAGCCCCTTCAATGTTACTTTACGTACAACTAATAGACATTCTTCCCTTAGTCCAACCAGCCCTAATAGAATCGATCCAAAACTATCTACAGCGAAATTCTTGGAAGGTGAGAAAACTGTAAGAGAAATTCATGCTGCCGACGGTGTTAAGACGATTGTTACTTCTTCAATGACTACCGATGGACGTTCACATGTAGAAAAAATATTCCGTCATGGTGAAGGTTATTTATCGCCACGCAGTTCGCCGCATAGAGAATTTCATCGCGGTGTAACCCAACAGCGTGTTATAGATGTAACTGCTGCAAATCCTAGATTTCTTATCAAGTTAGACGAAACAGATGAACAAATAAAAGACCATAAAGAGTCCATCGATATGACTGATTATATACAACCGGCTGATATTGGCAGCGTTGCCCCGGAAACATCAACTGGTAACATTGACATTACTGTAGGTAGCAAACAATCTTACAACAACAATAATTTAATGTTTGTGGAAGCCAAACACCCAGTAATGCCATGGCAAACAGAAACCTATACCACTACCACCACTGAGAAGACCACCACCCAAATTAAAACCTTAAATAGAACACAAAATGAAAACTCTATACCCGAGGACAATGTTAGTTATACGAAAACTGCTGCATCGCAAAGTACTAAATCGCCGGTAAATCAAAAGTTTGAAACAAACGAGCCGGATGTGTTAGCTAAGGAAGACATTATAGTGAAAAAACATTACAAACGCGTCGGTTACGATTGTTGTGCTCTTCACAAAGACACTGCTAGTGGCGGTGGCCCGGTAAAAACAAAAAAGCCTTCGTCCGCCACTAGTGAAGTTACAGACGATTCAGATACCGAAGGTACAGCACCAAGTAGTATAGTAATTGTGCCGGTCCAAGCTACAGCGTTAAATGCAAAAGTGAGTGCAAGTGCAAGTGCAAGTGCAAGTGCAAGTGCAAGCCCAACGAAAATAACTGGACTTAAGCTGGTTAGTGAATTTGTTACCAGCCCGAGTAGCGGTACTTTAAGCAAAGGTCTGTCAGCGTCTCAGACTCAGCAAGCACAAAGTATCAACAACGATTACCAAGAATTCCAATCCACAATGGCAGCGATTCAATTCAATCGCAGTAACTCGCAATACGACAGTCACATTAAGGAGAAACGAGGTAAAGACAACACAGCAATAATCTCCTTTCAAATTTATTTATAAATTTTGTTAAACTCAAAAGTGCAAAAACGAAAATAATGACATCATCACCTTTAAAATATATTTATATATGTTTGCTTATATGATTTAAATTCAATTCATTTCAATTGCTAAATTTATTAAGTGACTGACTTTTTTCCTTTTTTTCGTTTTCGAATCATTGTTAATTTAATTGATGCCGGTGCGAGATAACCGAACAAATATTTACTTTCCTCGCATTTATTTCCAGTATGAGACAAGTATCGACTGCATAGTACATAGTACCGGGAGCGCGATAGTCATGACAGACCGTGTAGTGTTGTTTTGTTGTTATTGTTGTTGTTGTTGTTGTTGTTTTTTCACTCAAATTAATCAACGTAAAACTAATGTTTTACTAAGAGTTCGCTTAAAGGTGCTTACTAAGCAGACGGTCTAAGATGATTTCATAAGAGGTTTAAGGTTGCATTGCAGTTTTTGTTGTTGTAGCTTAGCTATAAAAAATTTTATGGCAATGCACACATTAAGTTATGACCTAATGTTTATTGCAAGTTTAAGAACGCAATACATTCTAACGGCTTAGTAATGACATCACAAATTACAGGGTCAAAGCTAGTAAGGTTATCGGGTAACTAGCTAACTAACTAACTAACTGCTCATGTGCGACTGTTGCTTGTAATAAAGCATATATAAATATATGTTTATTTTCTTCTTTTTTTTTTTTTTAAATATATACTTTCAATAAATCTAGCCTGCACTGTTTTATTAATTTTTTTTTTTTTTATCCATTTCTTTCTGCACTCATACTTAAGTATACCGGTTTTGAGTGGTTTTATTAATCGATTATTTATTTAAAATGTCAATTTATTGAAAATGAAAAATTACTTTTAAATTGTCAACGGCATTACACCACTGTACGTTTGAAATATATGTCTATATCTGTACATGTTGCAATTAAGAACTCATCGGCAAAAGCCGTAAGCATATTTTGTCCTTTGCTCTTTTGTAAAACAATTTACAATCACAAGACGCTCTGTTTATATTATTATTATTATTATTATTATTATTATTATGATTATTCAAATAAATGCAATAAGACTTTGGGCTGAAGCAATTTACGCAAACTTCATAAATTCCTTGGAAAAACTTTACAACAACTTTACAGACGTAATTAAGCACGCGTCAGTCATTGAAATAAGTGCTTATGTCCTTACGCTGACGCTTAGAACCGCAAATTACTGCAACGATTAAATATCAGTAAAAGTCAAAAGTTACTTAAAAATTTAATATAACAGAAAATCTTGCTTAAATGAATCCAGAACGAGTAGAAAATTAAGTTTCGTTAGAACTTCAAGATATATATCTGGAAAATATATACCAGGGAAATCTACAGCATCTTCATAATTTCTTTAAAGTGATAATTTTTTTTGTTTCTTTTTTTTTGTGGGCCCATCTACCCTTAGAAAGAGAGGAAACGCTCTCAAGTGTTACATCAATCTTCTTCTTCAATCTTTCATTTCTTAAGAAACATATATTCCGTATTAGTAGTGCAAACTGCATTGAAGCGATAAAAAGATGAAAACAAGATGAGAAGAGGGTTAAATTTAGGGTTGGTGCCATATTCGCCAACCGTTCCGCCAAAGGCAACGTGCAAAAGTTCATACCGCTTATACGGTAAGCATCAGCAATGCCGGAATACACGACTGGGCAAAGTAATTCCAACTTTGGCAATTTCCAAAAGCTATTGAAGAGAATGACCTTACTGGCGCGCCAGCTAACGGGGTAGTCGTATTTCGTAGAGCTTTGTCTCGTGTAATGATTGTCAGATTTTGTTTCTAATTTGGAGAAATGGAGAAATCATCTACAAATTTGCAAACGAACTTCAAAATTGGCCAAAGTTTTCAAGGAACACGCCCACATCGTGTACGCGTCTATATAACGAAACCTGAGAGCATCTTTGTTTTTTCTATGTTTTCTGCTTATTACTTATGAAGGGCAACAAACATAGCATATAAACTTCCGCTGTTAATTTAAAGAAATCAGCCGCGCCCACCCAATATTATAGAGTAAGAAAATGTAGTTCCTTTCTTTTTTTTTAGGATCACAGATGTGGCCACGACTGAATATAATTTCATTTTGATTTTTGATTCTCTTCGTAAGAAAGCAGGCAACATTTCATTTCAAGTCGATTTAATAGGTTTCCTAGCTCGACTTGACGGCCGTAAGAAATAAAAATTCGAATTCACATTTAAAGCCTTAGGTTTCGATTTATGATGAAAAATTCCAAGACTTGAGAGCATGCCATTACTTAGTCGATTTTGGAACTCAAAGAAAGACTGGTAAACGCCGGGCAACACTGGCTGTTGACAGTCTCGAAAATTGTAAATATTTGTAAAGGCATAACGTGGATAGTGACCGTGAAATGGCCGACTTTATCCTTGGGCCATGTCAGTTTACCAAATTTCGTTAAAAGTTCCGACTTGCGGGTTGAAAACGAACAGACAGATGAACTTAAATGATGTTGAGTCAATCATTAAATCACTTTGAAACTTAGGACAGTACCGCAAACGCTACATAAATCCGTTCGTTCCTCGTGCTTCCACAAGCTTACAGACAGGTATTCATCTTATGGTGTCTGCGATAGGCAATACGATCATTAGAAAAAAATAATATATTTTTTATAATGGATATAAAAGCTGGCAGCATGCAACCTCTACATAAAAATCGTTTCAAATAGTGCGCCAAATCCGCTTCGGCTTAAGCAAATGTACATACTTTCTCTGGATGGGAAGCATTTAAAATTCATTTTATGCCAACCACTCCGTTGTTCTACAAACAAAGAAAAAAAAATATTAAAAACTATTTCTCAGATGTTTTTGAAATATTTTTGTAAAATTTCTCAACAAAAGTTTGCAACAATTAAAGTAGTTCTGCAAAGCCTTCTTGTGTTCTGCCCTCTCCCCCTTTTGCATAAACATCAGCAACTTATTTCTTCTTTTTTTTTGTAGCAATTTTTTTTCAACTGCGACCAATGCCTTAGGGGATGTTTGCTGCGCGTTAGAAGGAAATGGGAATAGAGAGAAAGAAGTCTGGCCCACCAATCAGCTTCCACAACGTGCGCTAAGAATTCAGTCCTAGCATACCGTTGTGCTTCTTAACTAATGGGCTATGAGGCACCCTAACCTTAAATCGGTGGAAGAACATTTCAAAATATTTCTTAAATTGTGAGCTTATTGATGAGCATCAGTTGAATATTTGTATTATGGTTGGTTTTTTATAAAATATTTTTGTACAAAGGATTAGGCCAATGTCTCGGATTGATCGCGCCTTCTTTTGTTTTAAAGTTTCAGAAGATTTCAGTGAACATGTTTAGGAGGTTTTGAACCAATATTTGCTATAAATTATGAAGCTTTATGGGACTGGCCACACCTATTCTTGGATCCGGTCTGCGCTCATATATGGCTGGGGATTCCTCCACTTTTTGTGGCCAATTTCAGCTGTCTACAGTAATCTTTGGTTTCGTAACTCAAAAAGCCGGCGACATCCTTAGGGAAGGTTAGTAAGAAAGAGCGCAATGATCAAGAACATATGTATATTTCATTATGCAAATAGAAGGATAAACATATCATATCCTCAGACTTTGATGAAAGGTATAAGAAACACAGTCAAACCGTATCCGTTAATATAAGTCATAGAAACGTATGCCTGTCAGTCTCAATTGTTGATCATCTTTGGTCGGCGTGGGAGTAACTAAGAGAGAGAGAGAGTGACAACCAAATATCTATTACATGTGTATTTGCGTTTACATATAAGAACGTCCGTTTATGTGTCTCTTTGCATATACATAAAATTTTTATGAGATGCGCTTAAGAATATATAAAGAAAACATAGACAATCTCTCAATGTGTCTGTGGCAACAGGAAAGTGCGGACTATAACTAATGACTTCATATTCCTATAAATGTTTCATCTACCTTAAGTATTTTTGAGTGCAAATAAAAATTTGTTGTATTTACAAATGCACTTTTCATGTGCTTGCACGTAACAAACTAACGATCTCTTGCGTTTTCTGATGGTACCTGATAAACGGCAAAAGTTTTCTTAGATCTATGTGTTTAGCAGCATTATGTACAACAACCTTAACGCTTTGTGTAAAGCACATTTCTTTAATTTTTTATAGGTAAGCTAAGCCTCAACCTGTATCAGTTTCGCTATTTTCTTAATACCTAGCTTGAAAGCCTCGATCTCAAGGGAACTGAATGCAAATACTGCTCTATACAGGGCATATACTTAACAGTCTTAGTGTTTATCTTAAGCGTGTTTGCTGAGAATCGGCCACGTTTCATAAATGCTTTCATATTACAATACACTTGAGTTACATCAGTTGTTTTTTCTAATTTTCCTCAGTTCGTTAAGTTGAGGCAGTACGCCTAACGGATTACCTGGCTTAAATGAAACGTGCACCGTGAATGTTCAACTTTGCCATCGATGTTAAATGTTCGCCTCGATTCCACTCTGTTATAATTTTTTGTGCCTCGCATCCTTATTACGGTACAATTTTCTTCAAATTAAAAGACAACAATAGCGTTGTTTACAGATGGCGTTAGTGTTATGTAAAATTTGCCATAAAGCTTAAAAATAATATTTTACAATGTTGGAACCACAAACTGATCGAAAACCTTACTTGGAATCCTTCTTCATTTAAGAACCGGCTCGTAATCTAACAATAGTCACAAAAACAGACCTTTACGTTGGTGGTGGCGATGGAAGGTGTTTTCAGTAAAAACACGATTTTATTGCTTTTCTCAATATGAAAAAACGCGACCTTTTTATTTCACATTTTCAGCTGAGAAATCATAATTTGCATAAAGACACTGAAAACACCAAAAACACCGTCAACATACCCTACTCATTAGTCCTTGCTTTCGATTTTGATTTTGGCATACAATTGTATGACGTAAAGGCGATTTTGATTCTTCATCGT